TGTAGTGGTTTGTCACTGCTGTATGCCCGTACTACTCACTGCCTGTGGAGTTATCAAGACAATGACTCAAATGCTGAATATCAGTTTACAGTGTGGAGCTTTCACCTACCCACGTCTGTTGGTTCATCTTCACATGCCGTCTCTTAGCACACGCTTCCTCTAAGAGTCCACAGGCAGCTGCTCATTGTGAAAATAATCAATATATCGTAAATAAGGAAACATAATCTATAAATGTTTTTGAGATATTTTCTGCCAACACTGCTGCTGTGTTTGTAGCCAGTTTATTTCTGTTGGCCTTTTGCATTTCCTGTTATATGCAGAATGACCTTTGAAAAGAGGAATGTCAAGTTAAAAACATTGATTAAGGTTTTCAATAACCTTGAAAAATTATTCAAGATGCTTTCAAACAATGCAATCTAAGGACATCCATCATGCATATCACTAAGCCCCGTTTAGTTGTGATCAGCAAAAGAATAACATACTAATACACGGCACTACCTTGCAGAACGTAAGAGTTAATGCTTTAACTATTGGTCCTCCAACAAAAATCAGGTTTGAGAATTTCCATCTGAGTCAGACTTCTCCTTCCTGCCCTTTTAGTTTTATTAGCTATCTCGCATTTGTTTCCACAAGAATCTTCTATGGGAAGAAGGGAAGGAAGTTACCTTTCTTCTCTATTTTTACTATCATCCTAAAAAGGACAGGTGTATTTGAAAAGACTGATGCATGAGACAGAACTATTTTTCCCTATCTAACTTCTGCCCCTGACTTGCTTTGTAACCTCAGTGAAAAAAAAAATTCAAAAAACCTCTTCTGCCTGATGATATCTCCACCACCCCTAAAGAAAGGAGGCTCTGACCATAAAGCTAGAAAAACATCTGAAACCACTGCTACGCACATAGACTAATTCAGTATTAATTAGCCAACAGAAAAAGAAGAGAATGTCTATACAACGTAGCACTTAAGATGGGCTACATGGAAAGATTAGACCTTGTCCTGGTTTCAGTAGACCCCTCTTGAGACCCTTAATCTCAGGGTTGTGGGTTTGAGCCCCATGTTACGCTGCTGGCAAGGATTAAACCATGACAGACCTAAACCCTGTTCCAGTTAATACAGAAGATTTAAACAGTCTCTGAATAGAGCTTAGAAACCTGGTCTCCTCATGCTTAAATAATACTTTCAAAAGAGCATCTGACAAACCGCATTTCCAAAAGGTTTTACCCTTCTGCACCCTCTTGGAAAACACAGAGTATGAAACCCTGTCCTCCTGTGCAAAGGAGTGATCTGAACTGCCACACGATATCTACACACACGCAAATAAACCAAAGTGGGGACACCACGACTTTCTCTGACTGTGTTTTGTCAAAGCGAACTCCAGCCACCAAACAAGGAGGGAAGAGTTCATGAGTGAATCATGACCAGCTGGAGGTACCCAAATCTGAAGATTAGGGGTAAAACTCAATCCTACATTCAGCCTTGCCTCTTAACTTGAAGGCTCCCTGCTCAATGTCAGCATCTTCTGGACTGGGCTCCGAGGTACCCAGCTCACCCGTAGCCCAATACAAACCCACGCTGGGACACTGGGTTGCTCTAGGCACTCAAAGCTCGGGGTCCGGTGTTCCTACAGTATTTTTCTGAAATCAGCCTTCAGTCACTTCTGGAAGGATTCCACATTGCTTAGGAGTTCTACACATTTAAAACCTATTTTAAACCTAAATTCCACTTCTTAGAAGCATTCTAGGTATATGTTACTCAGGCTTGCCCACATACAGCAAGAGATTACGGTACCCAAACTGGACAGCAATAAAATGACATTGGGCCACCCTCATCTGTTTCCCCTTTTTTCTACAGTTCTGCAAGTTGGAAGGGCTCATTTACTACTTTAATAAACTACTGAAAAACTGTGCAAAATTCATCTTGACACTGCTAAATGAATTTAAAACAAGATTGGTTGATGCATGCAAACAGAAATGATCCAAATTAAAGTGAAAAAAATCAGTCTAGCCCAAAGCAATTAATAGCCTTCACAGAGATTTGTATTCACACATTTATGCTCCACTTAGATAACTGTCAGACACCTTACTGAAATTGGTAAAATGTTACATTTAGAAGCAGCCTTAAGGTGTGGTTTTAAACCAATTTAATTAAAACAGTACAACAAGTTGTGCTCAGCTGCTTAGATGTGATTAGTGTTCCAGCTTCATGAATTAGTCAGGTATCTGCTTAGCCACAGTAATTGTACATGCAAGCCTAAACCCGTGGCTAACATCAGGCACAGTGTGATTAAGCCCAGGGAAATCGGGCAGGAAGCAACTATCTTTATTATCTGCTTTTAAACTCATCTCCTACTAATAGTTAAATTTACTTGCAGTAGGTACTGTGCACAATCCTATTAATACTGACCAAGGAAAATGGAATCTAGAACTCTTAACATCAGTGGGTACCCAGTCTTATAACAGTTTTTTAGGCAAATGTCATAATACATGGTGATAGAAATTCCCAGATGATTAGTTAAATATGACATTTGTCTTAATTTATGGGAAGGAACTCACTAGGGCAGGTAATACTAATAAAAACAACCAACTACAACTTTGGGGAATGTGCTGGGTGTTCAGCATGTAAGCAAAACCTGCCCCTAACAGATTATATCAAAATCAACAAGCCTATAGAGACTGATATTTCCATCTGCAGTTTCCAATTACAACATGCATTATTTATAGCAGTAGAACCTTTGCCTGAATATAACAAGACAAAGAGTCCTTTGTCAACTCTGTAACAGCCCCTAACCTACGCTGAGGCTGCACTCTGTGGAATTACGGCTCTATGAAAGGTCTTTCCTGACAGCAAAGGGAAGTAAGAAGGAAAAGGAACGTAAGGCACAGTTTGTTCAAGAGGAAGCACAGTTCATTTAACAGCTTTGTGACAGCCACACAGAAAACCTACCTCAGTTTCCCCTGGACTCGCATAAATTGACACTCAAAAAACCACACACACATCACTTTACTGGTTTACCCGGGAAGAAAACAAATAATACTCACTCAGATAGTCCTAGAAAAATTGTGCTTGGAGCCGGAAGTAGACTTGGAAGATTTGTAATATATGTGACAGTTGAACTAGAAACAAGTTTTTTACTGATCTAACTAGATTTAAAATATTTCATATTTATACATGATAGTTTTATATGATAATCACTTTAGTCCTCCATTAATAGCTACTTCTGAATGATGAGTATGTGGACTTTTTATAAAAGGCTAGTATTCCAAGGTGTCATACACAACAAACAAGAAACATGCCAAGATTATTATTTTCTGTATCTAAATTTTATTCTTTTCTAGAGAGCAAGGAAGTATTTCTGATAGACTGTGTCATACTCATAATGAAAGATTACATACAAGGGCATACCAAAAGCCTTCACTTTACTACAGAATTACTGTACTGCCTGAGGCTAGTATAAAGAACAGATTAGAATTTGGCTGTGTAAATCATACCTTATATGTATAAAAACTGCTATCAGCAGTCAGTTTTTTCAGTAAACCATCTAATGCTGAGTATTTTAATGCTGAGTATTTCTGCCCACTTACAGTAGACTAATAAAAACACAAAAAAGAAATAAAGCACTTATTTTATATCCAAGATCCCATTCCTAATTAACTTATCAATCCTATTATACAGCCTGCATTAACAACAGGGGGAAAAAAAAAATCAGCACATTAAAAATTCTAGTGGGCATGCAACTGCACCATGCTACGCCTGCAGCTCTGCTACTCCAAGCTGTATGTTTGCCTGTTCTCAAATGCTAAAGTTGAGCTTTGTGCTTATATGAAAGACGTGAAAACAGGACAGAATGCTGCCAGAAGTAATCTCTTGTAATTACTATTAATTTAGTAAGTGGTACAGACCATCTTTCACAACATTACGGAATAAATTCCCTAGAAAAGTAGGTATTAGATTGCTTACACCACAATTGTCAAGGTGACATCAAAACGAAAGCTCAGTTCACTTACCAACTATTAGAAGTCCTCTTGCACTTTTTGCAAGATTGGGATTGTTGATGTGAGTTTTGGCTGAATTCCAGTTTCATTAATTAAATTCCACATATCTACATCCCCTCTGCAGTTCACATCTTTTGCTACCTCTAAATGCTATTAAACAGCCAACATGTTAAGGCAACGTCCTCTGGGCCTAACATCAACAAGGATCAAAATATTTCCCCAATGCAAAGTTAGTAAAAAGCTGCTGGAATCCTTCAGAGTAAAGTACTGCTGTTAAAGTACTTGCCATTCAAGCAATTTCAAGTTAAAGAACCATCAGACTATTGTACAAACAAGTTCAAAAGCTGCAGTATATACTGTATTAAGGAAAGAAAATACTTCCCGTTAGTAATTATGTATGTGCTCAGTTGCAAATGTCCAACTATTATAGTTTCAGATGCAGAGGAACCGAGTGTTTATGTTTGGTATGTGTTTCCAACCTTTCCTATTCCTACTGTACAACAGGAAGATGAAGTCTGTGATGCTCATCAGTTTCTAATAGTGTAAGAATCTTCTTCTCTGAATCAAGTTTCTCTTTAATTCTTTAATAAAGATTCTACCTACAATTTGCCAGTAGCTACTCTCCACATAACTCTTTTACTAATATTTTCCTGTAAATCAAGAAATCTAAAACTTACCTGAAGGGAAACTTCTATCCTGTTGAAGTAAAATATTCTTTACAATTATGTTTAAGAGAACAGTGTAAGCACACTTCAGCCACTATTTGATTCTGTCTGGTAGGAAGCTGTGATGTTAGGCTTTTTATTTTTAGCAAGAGTTACATTTCCTGAGTAACACCCATAGCTAACAACAGACTCCACAAAACCACCACAATCAAAGAATAAAAGTGGAGTCTTAGAGTAAAACCAGTCCTCTAACAGCCTAAAATTAGAAAGCATTCCATTCTTCCAATTTAATATTTATTTTTAAGTGAGCAATTTCTATTAGGCTAAATAAAGTACAGATGTATTTAACCACTGAATCTTCAAGTCAAGTTTATTTGATGTCATATTTCAATAGTTTATATTTTTACCTCAACATTGGACTAGCTTTTGGTAATAGACACATTTTGTTATTAAAAATAACCATGAAGAAATGTAGTGATTTTTTTTTTTTTTTTACCATGAGTGCTACGGCATCAGTAGATTTTCTTGAATCGTTTACTGTTTTATAGAGACTTGTATTAAAAATGGGAGATGTAGTACAGAAACAACCTGTAGGGTTCACTGTCAGCTTTGGTACATTTCAACAGATTCTGCCTTGAAATGTCAAACTCTTCATTTGTAAGCAAGCAGAATATATTAGCAAGAGGTAACCAGAACAGAAATCAACATGTCCACTCTCTGCGCAACACCAAGCTATGTGCTCCTCTCAGCAAACCAGAGTCACAACCTGTACCATAACGCACAGAGAGCTTTTGGGGAAGACCATTCTAAGTGCTTCTAATTGCCACATAAGGACCATTTCTTCTCTTCTTCCAGATAGCCCATGGCTTTCAGCACAAAAGTCTGACAATGCCAACAGATTCTTTATTTGCCAGCATACTCTAGTGGAAGTTTAAGCGTGAAGAACCTAATGTTCCACAGGAAGTGGTTTGAAGGTAAAGGTGGGCTGAGAATTGGTTAATGAGGTTCCTGAACCCAGGTGATTATTTCTTAATGTGTTTTTGGAGAAGAATAGCAGCAGAAACTACAGCCAAATCCCTCACCAGTGTGACAGCATATGGGAAGGTCCAAGCTCTTCTTCTTAGTGCTGTAAAAAAATTAAAAATGCATCAGTCATTAGTACCATCAGTAGCAGTGAGCACTGCACAAGCACAGGCAGTCAGTCTTCTACAGCTGGAGTGTGCACAAGTCCAAAATAGCCAAACAGTAGGTCAGGGCATGACCCATCCCCAGCAAGATGTCATGGATCTGCCCAGTGGTAGGGCTAGACCAGAACACAGCTCTCCTAACTCACAGCCCAATAATTTCACTTACAGCCACCTGTACTCCCAAGCGAGGATTTCTAGAGCTAAGGTGTGTCTCACTGACACAAGAAAGAGGACTCCTTTCACTATTTTTTTAATTTGTCATTTCATTCTACCTATTTTGCATTACGACAGAGTGATATACCTCAAAATAAAAGAGTTTAACCATAAGTCAGTTACTGTCAAGGATTTATTCTATATTAAAATGTGAGGTCTGCTACATACTTACTTACCATGGGTCTAAATCCTGCCCTGAGACAGTGGAATTATCATCTGGTCCTAATCAAAACCTCAATTCTTTCAGATTCAGGGAATACCAAATCTAGGATCTAAACCTTTGGGTTTTAGCACTTTCCCTGAATAAGGCCAACCTAGAATACAACCATATACAGGCTGTAAGGGAACCCAGACTGAGACTTGTGGGTTAGTCTCACCGCTTGTTATCTAACAGCATACAATCAGATTTCAAAACTAAACAATTTGTAATGTAAGGTTATCTGAATTTAAAGTTTCCCTTAAACAGATATTGAGGATCTGTTTATTTTGACAACTATTTGCAGCCCTATGAGCTAGGAAATTAAAACAATCATCTACAGTAGGATTAACTCCATATAAGGTTAGCCAACAGGCATATTGTTTTCTAGATTCCCTCTGTAAAGTTAACTGTAGGCAGGCAGTATGTTACTCTAGTGGGGGCGAATTAGCCCACACATTTAAGTAATGTCTCACATGATATTAAGATGTCCTGTGGGAATGCCCATCATTCTCTACTGAGTACAGAAGGGGATCCACAGAGAGGTCAGATTAAACAACCAGCTAAATTGGCTTAAATTCATTCTTAGACTTCGCCATGTATATACCATACCAGTTTACAAAACTCATGGTTGGTGCTGCAAATATCTACAGGTTTTCTATATTCAGGGTTATGGTACTTAGGTGATGGCATTATTTATATGGCTACAAGAAGCAAAAGACTCGAGACTTTCTTACAGTATGCTTAATCGTAACAGCATAACTTAACCCTCCTTTTCCCTCACACCTAACAGAAAATGTAATTGGTTGATCTGGCATGTGAGAAAATATTTTATTACACAGGCATAGAAAAACTTGTGTTTTCAAGCTAAGATTTACACACAAGATTAAATATTTTCCCATACACTCTTATTAAAGCACCACAGAACCCTACAAATCCCTATCTGTATAATCATCAGGAACGTGTAACTTTCAGGAAATCCTCTTGCAGTCTTTGACTGACTGCAAAGCTACTCCAATCTGTGTGCTCATGTGTGATTTCTACCTTTGCACCTCACTTTTGAATACAGCCCACTGAATCAGTCTGTGGATTCTATGTGGGTGTAAAATTTAAGCCTGGAGACTGGACAAGGGTAGTTGTGTTTGGGGTTTTATTTTCACTTTTTCTTCTTCTTCCATATTCCTCATTTTGTTGTATTTTTGATGCAATTTTGGAAATAGAGGGTGTTACATTCTACTCTGCTTAAAAATCTTAAGACTATTACAGATCTGAAATAGATTACTTAATAAAAAAAAAAAACCCTTAGCTGTATTTACCCAATTCAGGCAAACTGCTTCACAAGTGGCAGTTTCAAACATCCAAACTGTTTAGGTCTGGAACACTACGCAGGCATTTGCAATTACCACTATGCAGACAGGAACTAAATATTCTGTAAGCATAGATTTTACATGCAAGAAAAGGATACTTTCAGCCAGTGTTATTGTTTACTCTTACAGACACTGGTTAAAACACTCACTTCCCGATCCCATAGACTCTCATTTTATAACAAGTTTTTAACTTACTGAAGAGCATTCTATTAACTTCAGTGGAACTAGTTCCACAGCAAAAGTTAAGCATGCAGGTGCCTACATAATGATGGCTAACGTGTATCTAACATAGTAAAGCAGGCTGGTGGAAGGCGGCACATTGTTAATTTGCAAGCAACAAAATCTTTGATCCTTGTAAGTAGGGCTCACTTGTTACAAATAAATTAAGAAGTATACGCTTGTAAAGTAATACTGCAAAAAAAAAAAGACAAAATACTATGACAGGTATTACAGAACAGTTCATTACAAAATAGATTTTTTAGTAGTACAGGACTCAATGACAGTCCTGTCATGCTTAGCTATATCTTGTAACTAAAGCTTCTCTGATAGGAGAGGAAACTGGATTTCTTGTGCCTATTACAGTAATGCATAAAGAGTAATAGGTTACCAGTGTTCCACTCTGTAGTCTGTGGAGTTCACCACTACCATTCCAACCACTATTTTCTCTTGCTTATGTGTTAGGACATACATGATACTTCCTATAAAGTAAGTATCTGCAAACAATTATCTATATTTGGAACAAGGTCAGCTTTGTTACAACATTTGCATAATACTTACTTTTCTGCATTTTTACATAGCCACCACAAAAATTAGGAAAAAATCTTATTCCCTGTTATTCCGTTAGCAGATACTGAAAAGCTCTCAGTGAAGAAGGAATTTACCTGAAGCTCAAGGTATCTTACCACTTTTGATAGATACATTTCCAGAATCTAATTATGGCATCAAAAGACTCTCCAAAAGGAGCACTAGTTTTGTAATCAGAATTATCTTTATTATGGCAGATAAACATCAAATTAATCTTTCCACCACCTAAGTAACAAACCAAAACTAATCAAGTCGCCACTGCACCAACCACTGAATATATCACCAAGTGACCTGTGGGCATTAGCTTAGCTTAGCTTAGACCTTTTGAGTCTAAAAAAACCCAAAGCAAACACTACATCATTTAGCATACAGAGTTTAAACACACAAGAATTTAACATTTAAACAGCCTCTAAGGCTGCTAAGTACATATTTTCAACATGTACTTGGGCTTTACTAAGACTACCTAATGCTCCCACTCATCACATGATGCACTCTGCCAACACTGCAAAATGAAATGTGCTCGCACTGTCAGAAATGTGATCATTTCCTCAGTCGGCAGGGGCAGGCGGGAGGGTGGAATCAAAACACTACAAGCAAAGCTGCAGACAAAATCAGCATGACAAAGCAACACAGTACACCTAATACAGCACGTTAAGGCATACAGTTAGCGAAGAACACATTTTTATTTTTTATACAAGTCACTTCCATTTGTCCCAGTACCACTTCACACGCAAACACAGACACTACCACCACCTTCTACTGGATATCTTTGTATTTATCACTTTAGTGTTCCATACATCTTCCAGCACAGTCATGTAGTACCTGTATACAGAAAGAGCTATAAAGAGGGGCTAGAAAGCGATCCCTTTAAACAAAAAAGCCTTCATAGAGCCAAGCTCACAACAGGAATATAATTAAATGCTTGACTTGGCTTTTATTAATGGGTAGGAGAGCAAACTTTAAAGTGTGTGTGTGTGGGGTGGCAGTGGTGTTTTTTAAAAGCCAACAGATTTAAAGCATTTGTCAAACAGAGGGATTATTTACACTTACCAACTATATGAACAGAGTCAACATTTGTAGGGCCTCTCACTAGCACGTGTTCAGAAGTGCTGCTGCAGAGAGCTTGTATCAATGGAGGTATAAGAGCAGATCTCACATTTTGAAAGGCTTTTAACCTACCAGGAAATGGAAAGCAAATATGAAGGATGCATTATCTTCTATGGGAACACAAAGTGTGTGTCTGGGAAATTCACAAGAATATCAGTGGATTAGCATTTACAGCACATCTTCAAAGCCACAGCATATCTTTCACATGATCTTGTTGCTAATGAAGCATGATCCTAGATAATGGTGTAGGCAGTTAAAGGTTACAGTCTGTTTTACCAGTAGGAGACCTACTGCATCAAAATTTCCACCATAAGTCTAATCAAGAAAAACTGGCCAGAACCATTCCCAAATTTAGTTTTGAGCTTTCTTCTGAATCAAAGTTCAGAGGATCAACTTTCAGCGCACTCTATGTCACCAATTAAAAACAAACAAACCAAAAAAAAAAAAACACCACCAAAATAATCCCCTAGGAAGAGGAAATGTAGCAGAACAGGAAATTTTCAAGAAGCAAAAGGAAATTACGTTAAGGGAAAACCATTTTAACTTAATGAAGTAAACACAAAGAATTTTCTGTAAAGACAGCAAGGACAACATTTAGGTCACAAACACAAAGGAAAACAATGACTTCAATAACAAAAAAACTGAGAGGTACATTCTTAAAGGACTGGCCTCCCCTTTCATCTACATTCCCACTGACAATTTCTAATTTACAGTACTTATCTTCACGTTTTTCTGATGTATGAAAATTCTGAAATATTAGCCTCACAGTGGAGAACCTGAAAAGAATCTAACCAGAAAGAAACCACAGATTTAAAAAATAAAAGAAACAGAATCACAGAATGGTCAAGGTTGAATGAGACCTCTGGAGGTCATTTGGTCCAACCCTCAAATAGACAAACATGTTTTAATTTTTGCAGCCAAAAATAAAAACACAAACCAACCAAATAAATACATTTTGGTTAAAAATAATGTTAACATATTTTAAGATTCTAAGTCCTAACACCAAACCTCGTATAGTAATAATTCTCCTCAAGACAGCATTTCATGCCAACATTACTAAAAGTAACTCTCCAGTTCCAGTTTTATTACTGTTACCTTTTAAGAATTAATGAAGGGGCATCACAATCAGCATGATGTGTAAATGAAAGTATTGTTTATGTTTACTCCCAACTGACAATGGGGAGGCAAACAGGAAGAGGCTGATGACATTATCAGGAGCAGTTGTCAATGGCTGGATATCTAGATAATAAATTGCAACTTCATAGATAATAAGCAGCTTCCTGAAACTCATTACATGTGTTTGCTGTAGGTTACATAGCAGGTCAGCAGCAGAACACGGAGACAGTTCTGGATTTGCAATCCTTCTTCTAGACAGTGACTTACTGTCTTTGTTTCTTGTACAAGTTTCATTTATTTCGTGTGGTTTTGGTCACTTGTCTACTAATGCACTTGAACATCATTAACAGCACCCAGCCACACTGCCTGGTCAGCCTCCTAGGAGAAGTCAGTTATCTCTCCTTTGCGTATCACTCTCCTTTTCCTGTACCTTTTGAAGCCCTGTCAGTTGCCTTCGACATAAGCTAAGAATATTTAATAGAGCAAATGTCTGTCTTTGAAGACATGGCACACTTGCTACCACAGAGATTGAGAGCCATCTGTCCCAGTAGCGTGAGACGTCTATCAGCCCCCTTCACACCTCTGGCTCCTGCCAGACATCTGTCTCCTCCCCGCCGCCGCCGCGCGCGATGCCACGGCTCCAGCGCTGCGGGATGGAGCACCACCCACGTCGCCCAAGTGTCGGTGCGCCGCGTTCCTGCCAAACCACTGCAAGAGTATTTCATTTCTCCAGCTCGCTGAAAAGTTAATTTTGCCAGTGTGGACAAAGGCGGATATTCCCTATTCACTGCGCTGCCAGGTCCTACAGGATGAGTTCTCCGCAAGCTGATTTATTTAAATATTATCACAAGCAGTTAATTGGCTCCCCACTGTCCTGTCCACCCACTCACTGCACACATCAAGTAGCAGGTTTCAGAGGGCCATTAATGCGATATAGCATGTTACCATCTTATTCATCCAGTTAAACTTTTTTTCTAATCCTGTAAAACGCTCAGCTCAGAAGAAAGGAGAAAGGCTTTACTTCTTAAATACCAACAAGATGGAACAGATCCAACAGTTCCAAGCAGACAGTGCTACAAAGTACGTTCTTCTATGTAATTCAGAACTTCTCATACAAGTGTCTTTTTTGGCAGAATGATGGACTTAATATAACCATGGCAACGCAAAGTCTATGTAAACAAATCACTTGACTGAGACAGAAAAAACCCCAGAGCATCAGTCTGGGGGTTTGGGCCTTTGAGACTGGGCCTTTGATAGAGGTTCAACATTAAACTTTACAATGGAAAACCGAAGCAGGAAGCTTTCCAGAAAATTAAAGGGAATGTAGCCAACATGCATGAACAACAACCTATTATATTAAAAATCTTGAAATATGCCAATATGTACAAATTAGTTCAAAAAGTTGAGAAGACATTGCCATTCTTTCTGAGCCACAGAGTATCAGTACAGAAAAAAACCCCAAAACTTATGAATTGCTTGTAGTCCACATCCCTCTGGACTAGCAAAGACATGCAAGCCAGGGACAGAAGCTGTCCTTGTCTTTGCAGTATCTATACCTTTACATAGGTGTCTTCTGAATATAAATCCTAAACCAGGATCAAATATATCCTTAAAGAGCAATATCCCTAAATGCCATAAAAAACATCTCCGTTAAAAATTTGCCTGTTTTGTTAAATCAGGATCGCAGTGTTTGGTTTTTGCATACTCAGTGTAAGAGGGAGAACCACCAGTAGGTAAAATACACACCTTTTCTCTAGAAATCCTTTTCACGTCACAAAAGAATCACTCTTACACAACATTCAACTGTAGAGTACTTTTTTTCCTTACCTAAGCGGTACCATAGAGGAGACATACATGTGATCCACCTGTATGCATTTTGATCTGCTGTATCAGAGAGACCTTGAGCCCTGTTTCGCACTCGCAGGGCTGGCAGTGGAAGCCTTTGATGGCAACACGTGTTCCCAGGCGTTTCTGCAGAGCTAACTATAAGAACACTTCATGACAGAAAGGAAATGAACCTTGTCACAGATGGAAAATCAACATCTATTCTTCCTGTGTAAACGGTCTGAAGGGATGACATTTCTCAGTTACTGTGTTAATTTAGGCTTTTAATGCCTTTTATCAGGGGTATTTAAGGCTATTAGTTAGGAATGATTGATATCTCATCTATGGGACAGATGAAAACACAAAGATTCCTATCAGATCTGTCTACAATCAAAAACTTCATTTATTATTTTATTATCTTTCAATTATTTATTCATATTCCCAGAATGACATACTTCTGAAGTAATTTACTCGCAGCTAATATTGCATAATGCAACATGATCATATTGGACTGTTGTATTTTGATGTCTGAATGGTCCACCTAAGTTTTTAATCCAGACAAAAGATTTCTAGAAAAGACAGATTCTACCTCTCTACTGCATGACCTGCTACTTTTTCAGGTCTACAAGTGGAAGTGATTTAAAAGGAAAAATAATGTGTAGGAAAATTATATGTAAGCTTATATATAAAGAGGGGATTCCCAGGGAATAAAATTGTAAAACATTTGAAAAGGCCTACACACATCACAGGTCTGCTGTTCCAAATTCCTTGATTTTCCAGGTTCTTCCCTGTACCATGCTTAGAATCCCTCAAAACTATTTAACTCTATGTCTCAAGCACTTAAAGTTCCTCAAAACTCAGCAACAAGGGAGGAAACACTGGCTGTTCACAAACTGAAATGCAAGTCTATAATGTTGTAAAGTCACATCCTTAACACACAATTTCAAAAGGAAAAAGTAAGCATGGAAGAACTTTTAAATCCTTGTCCTGTGGAAGTCACCTACTGGAGGTTTAAAAGGTGCTCAAATCTCTATCCAGATCATTGATCAGCACTCAGCAAAAGGAAACAACATCCTTTCAAATCACACCTGTAAATAATTAATTACTAAGCAAATACTATTTCCAAATACATGCAGTACATTCACCTTAGATGTAATAAACAGGATTAGTCATTCTTTAAACACTCTGTAATGAAAACACAGCTATTTTCAGGACACATTTGTGAAGGTAATTAAAGTCCTGCTATTTTGAAAACAAAGTATTTTATAAAACGATGAAATTATTTTATATTATACTCAAGACTTCTACTGGTAAAAGTGTCCCTGCTAATTCTTAATTAAGAGTGACTCATACAGGTGTTATTTTATGCAACAGTATTCAAAACAAGAAAGATGCAAAAGGGAATTTAATCCTCAATTATTTGTGTGGATTAACACTTTCTTGCACCAGAGAAATAAAGCTTGCATTGCTCAAAGAATAAAAGCCCTTAACTTGCATGAGGGAACTCAAGTACTCAGGGGAGTTGCTGAAGTGTTCGATGCATAGGAGGTGTGAAAGCTAAAAAAGTGATCTCCGTAGAACCAAGGGCCTATATAGAAAAATCTGGGCTTTAAACAGCAGGCTTCAAGATGAAATCCAACTCTGAAAGGCAAACCATGTCATTCTGAATAACTCTGTGAAATAATTTTTCCCCTCTTCCCTAAACATTTGTGATCTTTCAAGAGGAAAAACCATCACCACAAAAAAATTGTCCAAGATTTAGATTTGTTCTACAGGACAGACAGAACTTTTTTAGAGCTATGAAGCAGAGACCAAAAATGCAGAGACTAATTTCCGTAACACCTTTGTGAATCCAATACAAGCATAGTAGTTCAGAGATATAACGTGCTGATTCACAGACTAGGAAAGTGTTCTTTGTTACCATTTCTACTCATTGAAATCAGTATTAAATTTTATGCTTTGAAAGGATATGTCTTTCGCAATGACATAACGGAACCACCTTCCTTTGTTAGGGGATTAAATGCTTTGTAGAAAAGGAGAACTCTTTGGATTTTCTAGCTATTTGAGTTACTTCTTAAAAAAGGTGTAAGCATAGCTGCCTATTTCCAGCACATTTAATAGCTTCAAA